AAAAAGTTCATTAAAAAGCATTAAGATCCCTCCTGTGATGGAAAGTGTAACTAAATTCTGCAAACCAGTATTCTCCAGCTATTCTCTCTTCAAACCAATTAAGTGATTCATTTACATTGGCACGTGGTCCCTACAGATCTTGGTTTAATAAATGAGTCGGTGAAACGCTCGGTCTGATTCAATCCGATTCGTGAAGGAATCATTCCATCCGGTTTCGTGATCCAATCCATTGAAAAAATCTGGCTCCAAAGAACGAGGGAATCATATTTAAAACCGCGTTGCTGCAACAAAACTAACACAATGCAGTCAATGGTTTCATGTGGAAGCAAGGAACTACACGTGGCAAGGTTTGTGAGACGCTCTACATTCATGTTGATATTTTAATTTACTGCTAAAGACCTGACAATGCCGACAAAATGTTTAAACCAGAATTGCGTTTCCATTGTAATAACGGTTTCAAACGCCATAATTATGATATTATGATAATAGGTATCATTTGAACAAAAGACCTGGGTGTGTCTGTTAGGAAAACGAAACTAAGAAAAAAAAAACCAGTACTTAATTAGCATCCATTTAACTTATCACATATAACGAAGAAAATACATTTAAGTTGCACGCTATTGTCTCATCTAACACGTGTAGCACAGTGACGCCATTTTGGAGCGCCAGGACCAGTGCACGTGTTTAGAGAGCGCGTGCAGGGAGACACGAGCTGTGGAGGTTTCGTTTCTTTGCTTCAATACATTCAATTTAGAAGTTTATTATGAATTTATCTATAAAGGCTAGAACAAACATAAACGGGTCTCAAGTTAATTGTTGACTATGTAACTTAGTGCTAACCGATTAGCTAGTGCGAATTCATGCTCTAACTAACACGTGTTGTTTAAGGTCACTCCACATCGAGTAACATCGATATTACAATGTATTTATACCAGTTAACACATCAACATGTGCTGCTAAGCAATTTAAGTCTGACAATATAACGGGGTAGTTGGCTGGCAACTAACTTACACTACGCCATGCTCAGTTTGCGTAACTTACTAGTGCCACGTTTACGTACTATACGTGTGATCTAATAGACTATAAAACAAGAACGGATCAAGATAAGTGTTTAACGCATTACATACCGTACAGGAAGGTTTGGGGACCCATTTGTTCGAGATCCATCTCTGTAAGCTATGTGTGTGTCTGTAGACTGAACTGCGCCGTGCGCTCGAGTGCAGGATGGACACACTAACCCACATTGAGTATATCACGCCCATTACTGGGACGGTCTTCCTGCTCAGCCAATGAATCAGCTCCACAGACAGTTTGGGACCGGTGTTCTGTCGATTTGTGCTACCCTGTCAGATTTTGCTACCTCCCGTTAAAACAGTGGGTAGTACAATTCGACAACGAAAAATGCTACCTGTAAAATTATGGTTTATTAACGTCTACACCAACCCCAACCCTAAACCTACCCTTACAGTAATGCAGATACAGTAATTGTGTTATATTCGCGTTGTAGATAGAAGGGATACAGCTACAGGAAACCAACAATAAATACTTTTTTATACCTATTAGATTGTGTTTTATTAAAGTTTACACCTACCCCAACCCTAAACCTACCCTTACAGTAATGCAGAAACATTAAATATTGTTGTTCAGCATGAGAAAAAGGACGCAATATTGATGTGCGAATGCGCAGTAAAACCTGGTAGGGCAATCTGATGGGTAGGATAATATGTCAGGACACCTGATTGATATGTAGCCTACTGTAGAGCATGACATTTATCTGGATAAGTGTGTCTTGGAAAGATTTAAATGAAATGTATTACACTCGCGAACTGTGTGCATTGGAAAAAGAAATGCACTGTTAAAATGATTTTTCGAAGTAAAACAAAAGATTATTGGAGTACATTTCACAAGAACATATTTTAGCCTCTTCCAAATTTCACGTCGAATTCTATTTTCTACGTTTAATATGCTAATTTCAGTTTCCTTGTAGTTAGTTGTGAAATTTACTGGCAATTCCTGAGTGAAAGTAAATCCTACACTTTTACACAGTGGTGGTCAAAATTATTAGAACACTATTTTCACCAACTAAACTAAACCTACCCTTACAGTAATGCAGAAACATTAAATATTGTTGTTCAGCATGAGAAAAAGGACGCAATATTGATGTGCGAATGCGCAGTAAAACCTGGTAGGGCAATCTGATGGGTAGGATAATATGTCAGGACACCTGATTGATATGTAGCCTACTGTAGAGCATGACATTTATCTGGATAAGTGTGTCTTGGAAAGATTTAAATGAAATGTATTACACTCGCGAACTGTGTGCATTGGAAAAAGAAATGCACTGTTAAAATGATTTTTCGAAGTAAAACAAAAGATTATTGGAGTACATTTCACAAGAACATATTTTAGCCTCTTCCAAATTTCACGTCGAATTCTATTTTCTACGTTTAATATGCTAATTTCAGTTTCCTTGTAGTTAGTTGTGAAATTTACTGGCAATTCCTGAGTGAAAGTAAATCCTACACTTTTACACAGTGGTGGTCAAAATTATTAGAACACTATTTTCACCAACTAAAAAAATGGTTTAAAGTCAGTTATTTCTATCTTTTGTTGTAATGTGCCAGTAGGAAATATCAGTTTACATTTCCAAACATTAATTTTGCTATTAATTGTAATAATCCAGTGATATTTTTGTTTGCACAAGGAGTCTGACAACAGCCAGTGCTCCACACAGAGATCTGATCTGATCATCATCCAGTCTGTCTGGAATGACATGAAGAAACAGAACAAACTGAGACAGACTAAATCCAGAAGAACTGTGCCAACGTCTCCAAGATGCTTCAAGAGACCTACCTGCAAAGCTACCTGAAAAACTATGCGCAAATGCACCGAGGGCAAAAGCTGTTTTAAACGCAAAGGATGGTCACTCCAAATGTTGATTTAATTTAGTTAATAGAAATGTATTGATAAAGAAAATCCATTTATGACATTATACTTGACAGCATCCTCATTTTACAGCATTTTTACACAAGTGCCTAAAACTTTTAACAGTACTGTAGCTTTGCAGGTAGGTTTTTTTAAGCATCTCGGAGACGTTGCCACAGTTCTTCTGGATTTAGTCTGTCTCCGTTTCTTCTGTTTCTTCATGTCATTCCAGACAGACTGGATGATGATCAGATCAGATCTCTGTGGAGCAATGACTTTTGTCAGACAAAAATCTCACTGGATTATTACAATTAATGGCAAAATTAATGTTTGGAAATGTAAACTGATATTTTCTACTGACAAACTACAGCAAAAGATGGACATAACTGACTTAAAACCATTTTTTTAGCTGGTGAAAATACTAGTGTTCTAATAATTTTGGCCACCACTGTGTGTGTATATGTATGTATAATAACATACATATAATATATACAATATTATAATGTAAATAATACATACAATATACATAATATATTTATTATGATGTGACAATTTGATGCGTGTATTACCAAGTAACAGGTGAATACAAAATACTGTAGTTTAATTAGGAAGCATTTTAAAATAAATAAATAAAGAGCTGATTTATGTTGCTTCACTTACTTACATACATTATTACATACTAGTGAGTCAGGTTATTCTTTGCTGTCTTGACGCATCCATTTTTTTTTTCTTTCATAATCCACTAGTTGAGAACCACTGATCTATTCTGTTGTTTGTATAGCAAAGCAAGCAGTGAAATATTTTAATAAAACGGTTACATAATTAACTAAGCATAATGAATTTGAGATGTCATTATCCAGGTTTTAGATAATAATAATAATACACAATAAAGTGATGCCATTCATTCTCTACTGGCACCTAGGTAAAAATAATAATAACCCAACAGAATGAAGCTAAGTCTTTGGCGTATAAACAGTAAAATAAGAAAACACAGCTGAATGCTCTTCCACAAATGTTTTTAATCTGTTTTAACTGAGATTTGAATTGCACAGAATACTTCATTTTCACAGTTTGTATCTGCCTCATTGGACATTTCTTCATGTGGCACCATACTTGCAAGTATATACATAGCTTATATGTCCTACGACTGACCCTGACCCATAAATAATAATTATTTTTCTTTATTTCATGTGATTTATCTGGATTTTTTTCCCTCTTACAAATATTATCTTGTCCTTCTTGAAACTATGCAGAGGTATCTGGGGACAGAAGGGTATCCAGGGACTAGATTGTCATTTGTTGGGTTTGAATACAGTTGCGATTTTGTAGTTTATTTAATACTCCTCACTTACTTCCATACTTAGACACACACACTTAACTTCTGTCCCACCTTATTCACTATGATCTGGTGGGCAAAAATGGCTTGGTAAGTAATGAGACAGATAGACATACATTAAGTGGGTAGACTTGAAACAGCAATTACTAACAAACAACGCTGACAACACAAGACCGAATCAACATCAAATTAAGTATCCTCTAAACCCCATGTCATAGATAAATAAATCACAAAATTAGATATTTTGAAGGCCAGCATTATTTTCAAGCAACTCATAGGGAACACATCTGCTGGTTTTTCTCATGCAAGCGCTTCTGGCAAAGAAAGCAAGCAAAGGAGGCTGTAGTTCCTCCTGGATGCAGTTCCAGTACACCAAATGTAGAGTCCTGAGCTCTAGGGTCAAGCAAATGAAAAACGTTTGAGAGTGGTTTTCTTTTTTTCGTAGGGAAGAAGGATGTTGATCATCACCACCTGCTAGTCAGGAAATGCACAGTGCATTTCAAACATATGTAGTCTTCCGTGGCTGGATCAAAGTGGATTCTGGGCTGGCAATTTCCCAAAACACCAGCGAGAAACAACACTGAATATGTTACAAGGTTTGAATAGAGAGAGAAAAACAAAGCCCACAGACTCTCATTCCTCTCATGCCATCATATTCCCCCAGAACTCAGTTCAGTGAAATATAGCAAATATATATTTAAATGTAAAATCCCTTTTGCGTTCTGTTTCCCACTCTCTGTTTTGTTCTTTTCTTCTTCTGGTGGAGCTTCTCTACATCACATTTTCAAAGAGCTGCATGGATCTCATCATGTTTTCATCCTGGTGAAAAAAAAAGAAACTTTTAGATGTAATTTTCAGTTTGACCACACAGAGGCAGTAGAGTCTTTTTGGTCAAACTTGATCTTGACTTTTTTTTTAAATTTTATTAAAGGGGTCATATGATGTTGCTAAAAAACACATTATTTTGTGTATTTGGTGTAATGAAATGTGTTTATGCAGTTTAATGTTCAAAAAACATTATTTTCCACATACTGTACATTATTGTTTCTCCTCTATGCCCCGCCTCGAAAAACGCGTCGATTTTTACAAAGCTCATCGGTCTGAAAAGCGAGGTGTGCTCTGATTGGCCAGCTATCCAGTGTGTTGTGATTGGCCGAATACCTCAAGCGTGTGACGGAAATGTTACGTCCCTTACCATATTGTGATGCCTGCGGCAACCACA